ATTAGCCAAAGAAATTTGATTTTGGAAAACATCAAACACTACCAATCCTGTCATGCCTTACATCCATAGAAAAAAGGGCACTGAATATCTTCACAGAGGTTATTGGTGACAAGGAATAGGAAGAATTCAAGGAAAGACAGCATAATGGTGAAATTGAGATAACTCAAAATTCAAAATCCTTATCCCAAAAACTTTTCAATGTATTGAAAGAAACCAATTGCTGAAATCTGTATTTCTTGGTATTCATGGGGAAGAAATAGATAAGGTTGTTTTAGGTGAGAAGCTCTGATCAGTCTAGCTCTATGTAAGCTCTATTTTCTCCCTGCAAAATATGGGTAGGGAAGTAGACAATAAGCTGAAATAGCTGACTTGTGAATAAAAATTACTGGCACATGTGTTGTTTCCAGCAGAGATATTCTGAATAACTTTGAAGAAGGCATCTCATCTCCAGGCTGAGAGATGCAATTTTTATTCCTAAAGTACGTACTTCTTACACAACTGGTGGCCAGGCATGACTGACCTTTTTGTTGCATATTTGACTGATCTGTCTCTCTAGTTCTTTCTCCACTCTTCTGTGGTCTGTGGGCTCTATTGCAGAGGTTATGTAGGTATTTATTCRGTTAAGCCCTTCCAAGATTTCAGCTTTCCATGGAAAGCTCCAATAGGTAATGAAATATTATTGATGCTAATGCTATAGTCTGTTAAACATAAATTATCTGCAAATTTGTCCATTCATTTGCATATATAGCTCAATTATATGTTATGCAGAGTCATAGATTTTAACTTTTTTAACAGAAATAACATTTTACGCAGAGGCAGTCTCTGTCATCTTAATCTAATTGAATTTATTATGATTTCTGGGTTTTATATTTGCCTTTCAGTTGAAGAAGTAAAACTAAATTACTGCCCAAAACCAGCTAAAGAGTATATGAAATTTCTCAGATCATTACTTAGTATTGAGGTCAAACTTTGCTATGCTTAATACCTGAACGATAAAAATAAGGGGTTCCTGAACATTTCCAGAGGAGTAGTTCTAGGTCTTTTAATTAAATCAGTCTGCAGTAGGTATATCCTCCAAAAACTGCATGGGAGGGCTTCCACAGGTTAGAAGCTGAACTAACAATTTCTGTGGAAGCAAAGAAAGGCAGTGAAGCAGCAGAGAACTCTGTGAAACCAATTGGCAGTGAGCCATCTGTTAAGCAACCGCAACTACGTCAAAGATATCTAAAAATACACCAGTTGGTTTGGGAACATAATGCCCTAACTCCAATAAAAAGGCACTTTGTAAACAATCAAAAATGTACTTTAAAATCAATTGCATTTATTAATATAAAAATGAATTATGAGAGGTGATGCTTTCATAGATGTTAGTAAATCCTAAATAATTAAATTGTTTGTCCCTACTACTTCTTCTCTTTGGAGTAGGACCTAGCATTTTATTTCAATCCCATTGTCTCTCTGTGGCTCTCCCACATCCTGACACTTCTGTCGTGTCTTGTCTTCCTTTCTTGCTTCTCCTGAATTTATCTTTCATGTATTTTCTGCCCAAGCTGCCTTGTTGCAGTCTTTGTAGAACCATAGAATGGTTTGAGTTTGAAGGTAACTCAAAAATCCTCTGGTTCAAACCTCCCTGCTATTTTCCATCCCACTCTTTTCATTCACTTGCCCCCACTCTACTCTCATTTCTCCCCTTCTGMGAATCCTACTGCTTGGATTTCCTGCAATTCTGCCTTTCCACTTTAGCTTCCTTCTTCCCACATTACCTTCTCCCATCTAAACTATAAACCTTTTCTTTCTTTGCAACCTCTGAACTGGACTTTCTGCATTTCTCTTTCTCCTGCATTCTGGCTTCTACTTTCAAGTAATTTTGTTTCTGTGGAACCCCTTTCTTCCACCTTCTTCTCTTATGCATCTGTCATCTTTGCACTGTCACTTTATCCATCAGCAACTGGGGACACTTCTTTGCTGTCATTTTAGTGTTTTATGCATTTTTGCTCCAGTATTTTCCACCTACCTTTTATATAGTCATGAGCCTCAGGTTTGAGAATCAGTGTAAAGCTTCATGCCTGATTAAGGCATCAGCGTGACAGCTCTGAATGAAATATCATTTTTTCCTGCTTCTGCCCAACAGTGTCATCACTGCTGTTGTAAGAGAGCMGAGAGCAACAGCCTTGATCTGTGATTCATTCTGTGCCAACTCTATGGCCCCCTGCAGCAGGCAACAGCTGGCTGATGGCAAGACTACCAACAAAAAAATTGCCCGTGAAACAAGGTTGAACAGTCTTAATTCAGCCTTGCTAGGGTACTGATAAAATGTGCAGGTGCTGAGTCACGAATTCCTTAGTTTCAATGGAGGCTGGTGTTGGTACCAGACAGTTAACTCCTGAACTGGACACAGATGAAAATCTAGGTTTGACATCTCTCTTCCACCCTTCCTTCAAAGGAAAAATAGTGAAAGAAGTATTAGAAAACCTGGCCACTGACACTTTGGTAYATTGTTAGATGAAACAAAGAGTTGTTACAGATTGCAGTATTGGTGATTTCATTCAAATATGTATATCTAGTTAAGGGTTTGCTTCCCAGTGTGATGGTTATTTCAGTTCCTGTTTGGGGCACATTTTTAAATCATGTTATTTGAGGACATCCCAAAAGTGGAATATACAGTGGCTGATTTCAAGARCAGATGTCATTGTAAATGTGGTTTACTTAGCAGCAGCTTTTTTTGGTTATATCCATCCAGTCAGGCTGCAAACATGAAAACCAGAAGCATTCCCCTGTTTGTAGAGGTCCGTCTGCAGTAACAAATATAAGCATATATATTTTGAAACAACTATTTTTAGAAACTTGTGTTGAAGACTGTACTGCTATTTGGACTTTATGCCCTTTCAGATTTTGTTTCTTAGTCTATACATTTTTAATAATCACATTGCCTGCTAGCAGTGACATTTTGTGAAGGTCATTTTTCTTGTGAAGCTGGAGAATGGACTTGAATTTCATTGAAGCACTCCCTGAGCTGCAGGATTGTTGTTTATGGACTGTCTTGCATCTTGTACTACCTTTGAAGCCTGTTTAGAATTTTAACTAATGGTATCTTCAAAGTGTCACTGTGCTCAAGGGCAGAAAATAAATCTCAAAATGCACTTTATATTTAAAAACAGTTTTTAATAGCTTTGAAGCATGGTATTAGCTGAAATGAAAAGGCATCGATACAGACTTCCTATGTACACACACATGGAGAATTCCATGTTTCACTAAATTTTTCATGGTCAGCAAAGTGTCCCTTCACCACTGCAGTGCCTTTTTCTTCTACATTGTAAAAATCATCAGGTCTATGGATGTCTTAAGAATTTTTTATATGCTTGATGATTTCATACATCTGCAGGTATCTTAAGGTAACCTCCTTCTATGGAGTAGTTTTGCTTTTGTCTACATTGTTCCCAGCCTGCTTCTCATTTTCCCTGTGTAAAACACAGTCACTGGGTTGTACTTATATGACTTTTCTGAATAGAGGATGGCAGATACTAAAACCAACATGCTACACTTGAAATATAAGAGACTGTGATGTCAGCTACTGAATTAAAATTGCTTAACATTGTATAAAACRAATAAAGTACTCGCAGGTTTACACAGTAGCAGTGTCTGATGTTTTCTAATACTGACATATTCCTTTAATCAAAAGCTAGTGACCGTGTTTGAGAATATGGCCATTTGAATATCTGTACTGTTAATGGATATTTTTTCTCTTTTATTTATTGCTTCATGTAAGTACTTTATAACTAGTATAGGACTCCTGGATCCTTCTTTTAGGGATGCTGTTGGGTTAATTCTGACATTTTCCCTCTCTAGGACTTTAGTTTTCTGTAAACTGAGAGTTTATGGGAAGTAMAAGGATGTGATTAATAATTGAATCTTTCCCACAATATGATTTGCCTGTTTTTTTCTGTGTTATTATTTTGCTATATCAAACTGCAAMGAAAATCCAGCTTATTCAGGGTGTCCTTTCATTTAAGATGTTTGTTCCTATTTCTATTTCGATAGCTGTACCATCAAAACATTGTCATTTGGGTATATGTAATACAATGGATTTGACCATTTTATTACCATTGCTACCAATTTAGTTGTGTTAAATAAGTTAGAATCTTGTTTCAGAACATGAAGCGATGTGATCCACTGAACAGCAACTACCATGGGGGAAATGAAAAGAGGATAGGACTGTAACCTGTCTTTAAGATGTGTCCTAAGTAAAGTTAGATGTCGGGATGGATTGTGCGTTTGAGAAAGTTTGTGTTAGAAAGTAAGGACAGAAGGTTGTGCATGACTTTCCATCTGATTCCGTGTTTGGAAAAAGGACTAAAAATGCAGGAATTTTCAGACTCTGCTTCCAGACTTCTTAATGCCCACTGTGATGGACTGCTTATGAATAAAAGCCACCATCCTGTTTGGAACTGCTGTTTGGCTGACATGATCAAAAGGGAAGGCCTCAGCCTCTGGCCATTATCATTACCATTTTACTATTTTCCTGCCTGCCTGCTACACGGGCTTCCCTATGCAATTTTTTTTTCGATCTTCTGTGCAGACTGATTCATCCTTCTCATGCCTGGGAAAGTCTCTACAGGAAAATGCTCAAGATTGATGAGGAAGAGAAGGCAGTTACATTGGGTCTTTGCTTATTCTCAAACATTTTTTCCTTTCTGTTTGAGGCAGTTGTTATTTTTGTGATCTTGGTTAACACTTTTTATATTTATAGGGTCCTGACTTTTCTAACTTTCTGTAGGAATCTTCACACTGCTGCTAACAGTACTTCATCCCAAYCCCTTGTCTTTCCCTATTTTACACAACCAAGAGAAAATTCTGTAGCACATTTCAGTTGARAATTTAGCAACAGCATTTCTTGCAGAAAAAAACAAAGAGATATTCCTACCCAATTTTTAGCTGGTTTCATATTTTTTCTTATCCTTATACTTGTTCACTCACTTTGCTGTTTAATTCTTTGGTTGCAGGCTACTAAAGAAGTAATAGAGCGAGAAGCCCCGGGGATGGCCCTGGCAATGCTGATGGGATCACTTAAYGTTACTCCTCTGGGTATGCTCTCTAGGTAAGACTACTTCCTTCAAAATAAGGGATGAACTTTTTCTTTAGAATTACTTAGTGTTATCCAATGACTGTGCACAAATTATTGAAGGTTGTCATTGTTATCAAGATTGAAAGTCTTCATTTCAGAGAAGTATCCAAATTCAAGTAATGGTAATTGTACTGTCTCATTTAATTCCCTTTGTTGTCTCTRTTAGACACGGTATTCTCCTGTATTTTCTGTGCCAGGTTATTTGTAATATTGATGCATACTCTTAAATAGCTGTCTTTCCATTCTAGAACTGTGATGTTTTGGTGGTGAGTGAAGAATTTTTCAGTGTATTGTTCATGATGTATTAAAATGCTTCGTTTGGCAAAAAAAATCTTTTTGATCAAGACAAATGTGTTGTACTGTCCTATGTCTGAGGAAATATCATTAATTTATCTCTCAAAGTACCTGGAATCCATGCACATTTGTGTGGTTTTATTGTGAGCACACATAATACTTTTGCCAACCATGCAGTTCTTAAGCTCTTTTATTTACTTTTGCATGCTCTTTTGAGAAATTTTTGGCAGCTCCATTTCTCTCTTGAGCTGCTAGGTCTGATTGTTGGCAATTGAAATTTGCAGTTTTCATGCTGCTTGTTTAGTCCTTTTTTATTATTGGTTGGATGTACTGGTCATTTAGCTTACAATGCTCAAAAATATTTAAAGCAGAGTAGAAGAGCCAAGAATCTGCCAAACACAATTCCACCTCATTTTTATTCCTCTGTGGACAGTTCTTATTTCTTTTGTTTTAAATCTGCCATAAACTGTAACCTACATATGGGAGTTGCTGGATTGAGTTTGTACTCTCTAAGCTTGACTACTGCAACAGGAGTAAATGAACACATTTCTTTTAGTCAGGCTCATCTCTTTGCTGCAGTAGAGCATTCCTCACCTACCTGTAATTCTTTCGAAACTGAGGGTACATAGTGTAAAAGAAGTCAAATGAGAAAAGGTAGGCTAGGAGTCAGGCAATATTCAAGCTGCCAGTTGAAAGCAACACTTCAGGCTGCCTTGAGTATGCTATCACAAGTTCATTTAGTGGCACAGAAATGATCTCTGTTGCTATTTACTTGTGAACGTTGTGACAGCTGTGGTGGAAATACTTGTTACCCTGCTAAAAAATGCTGTGCAACCAATAAATTACACTAATCACTGAGAATTATTTGTTTAAGAAGAAATACAGGAAATTGGCTGCACAAACCATATTCTTTGGCTCAAGAATTTTGCTGATTCCATAACTGGAAATTATTTTCTTTCCTATTCTGTCTTCACTTATAGTTCATGGGTTTTTTTTGATAATGTTGCACAGTTTCTCTAAATGGTAACCTCCAAATCTTTGTGGTTTAGTTAGTTGGCTAAAATGTTAAATAGTGAAACTCAGACAACAGAAAGCATTCAGCACTTGAGTACTCAGACTTGCCCTAGAACCAAAGGAATTTCTTAGAGACAAAAAAACCCAAAAAACTTCCATCTTTGATAGTTGATCTTGGCTTTTTTTGAGGGAGAGGGAAAAACTATTAGGAAGAATTATATGTGAATTGCCTAAGTACAATTTTCACTTGAGGATTACTTCCTTCTCTGCTTTTCTTATGTTGCATCTTTTAGAAGAAGGACATATTTGGATTAATGCAACAAGCACAACTTAGTATTTTTACCTGGCTAGGGACATAATGTTTGATATGGTCAATTACATTGCAAAGGAGCCATGAYGAGATGGGGACTATATCAAATAATGTATTGGATGCAAGTAAACAGTAGAATTAAGAGAGCTGCATGGATCTAAATACAGATGGAAGTCCAGCCACTGTTTATACTACCCATTGAATGTTAGACCCTGTCAATCTTGTTCTATGCTTTTTCAGCTCAGCTTCTCCCAAGTTCTTTTATGAGAATATAATCAGCAAATATACTGAAAAATAAGTTTACAAAATCTGATAAATCATAGAATTTATCTTAAATGCTTTCATTTTGCTTTGATAGTGGAGCAGGGTGCATGCAAGAATTTCAGTTTGTGTTGCTTTCTTTTCAGGCCTGTGTGTGGAATCAGAGGGAAAACTCTTATAATTAATCTTCCAGGTAGCAAGAAAGGGTCACAGGTAAGAAATGTTCTTACTGATCTGCTAGGGAGGAACTATGATGAGCGCTTCTCATTGCTTTGAATGGTATAAAGTTTCCCCTACAATAAATTTTATAAAAGTGAATTGAAATGCATATTCATGCTAAGTGACCACACTCTTAGCCAAGGACCATACAATTCCGATCTGACTGAAGGTGCTGTGTGTGACCAGGACATTACATGCAGTGCAAGAGAGCRCTCACTTGAGCAGGCAGTGCTATTGAAGAGTCTAATGATCTCATGCATTTTCCCTTTCTTCTCTAATTATCTGTGCCTTGTCCATGGGTTGTCTCCAGTTTCCAAAAAATCATTCTTTTTCACACAGAAGTAACAGGAATGCCCAGTATATGGTAGAACCTGCTGGAGTATGCGGGACATTCCCAGTTTTGATCAACAAGAGAGAAGAAAGGGAACATAATTTTTAAGAGTGTGAGGATGCTTTTGAATTTCTCTGCATGGGTATATCAGACTTCTTATTTTTTATACAGTTATTTTTTCTTCCTGCATTTTGCCCAGTTTGGACAAAGAAGTTTGGTTTTTTGTCTTTATTTATGCTTTCTTTCTGACAATATAGCTGAGAGAAACACGAACTTCAGCAGGGATTTTTATGTTGTTTGTTAGTAAGGCCAGATTTTTCACTCATTTCTTTGTAGTTGGCTGGTAGAAAAACAGTCTTCTCACAAATATTGCTAAGCTGAATAGTGAGCTGTACAACCTGATACAAAACTGCTGAGGTAGGTCCCCCATGAGTCACAAGAATGTATTTCTTCAGGGCTCAGACTACATCTGGCCTTGTTAATAAACGTCTTTACCTCTGGCTTCTAACAAATGCATACCTGGTATATATGTCCTGAGTAGGTATTACCCAGGCACAGAGCAGACAGTACTAACATGTTTAGCAGCCCAGTCCTGAAGTCACTGTCTCTTAAAAGACATTTGTCTGGAAATAGAAAAACAGCATTTGTGTGGTCTGTCACCCGGAAGTTGAAGAGGAAATGTTTTGAATGCTATGATCTTGAGCAGCCACCATAGGTTTTTAGATACACTGTCAACATGTTTCAGTTCAAGGACTCAATGTGAGCCCTTCTATGATTCTACATTCCTTACAGCATTTTTAGAAAACCTAATGAGACTGTAATTAAAAGGAAATTTAAAAGCCTTCAAAACACACAAATGGCATTGGAGGATGGTGAAGTGGGAGTATACCTCCTTCAAATTCTTCCAGTATAGGTAGGAAATCATATGTATGGATATATATTTAACAAAGCAATGGACCCACATTTTAAAGAACTGGTGCACCAGTAAGAAGATTATTACACAAGTGAATACTTCTTTTGCTGAATTGTGAGAGAGATGAAATAGCCTGCCATCTCTAATGGTTTTTATTGTGTTCAGTAGCACTCCTAACCTACAGCAGCAATTGTCATTTTGTGTCCTGAGGCAATTAGACTTTGAAGATAGGTAAATTGCAGAAAGCAAATGAGGAAAAGAAATGAAAAAGTATGAATAAGTGTTTTAACAATAGTTTGATATAGGGTAAGTAATTAAAAAGGTAATTCTGCTGGAAAAGAAAAAATGTCATATGATTGCATCATACAAGCAATCTTTTGATAAACTGATTTTCATTTGTTCCCATCATAATGATTCTCTGTCCTGTCACGATTTCTTTTCGTATGAGACATCTTTAAAGCAGAGATTTTTAAGATGAATAGTAGAGAAAATTGTTCCGTAAAAGGTTGAATCTCAAGAACCAAAAAGGACAGATTGTTACCAGGAATTTCCCTACTTTTCCTCTTCTACCTATTGCTGATTTCCTTTCCCTTTATTAAATAGKATCATAAGAGAAGCTTATGTAAAGCTACGAAATTGCAGCAGTATATATATTTCTTCAATAAAATAGTAAAATATTAATGGAAAATGACAGTAATGTAAATGCTTCATCTCACAAATGGACTGCATACCAAACRTGATTTCATCAGAGAACATTTGTGTGGCATGTACCATTGAATCTGGATCTGTAGAAAACTTCAATTTTRTGGGTTTTTKGTTTATTTTAAGTCTTGCAAAAGATAGTTAATGTTACGAAAGAGGGCAAAGTGTGAAATTATGAGATGTTTATTTAAATCATTTGGTCTTTGACAGTTTTTGTAACTGTAGTAGCAATTGCCTTAACCAATGAGTTCCATAAGTAATATGAGCTTTTAGAGGACTTAGTAGGAATCTGTGCATCAACAGTTAAGCCAACAAGACATCATTTCAGTGGTAGCAGTGGGGAACATGCTTCTCTGATTAGTTAATTATTAGTGTACTTTTTCAGTTATTGATCAGTTCAGATATTATGTTTGTTTCTCGCTTACTTCAGGTCTGCTTCTTTGCTAAAGTAATGATGGTTGTGTGCTTCATTATTTTAAAGTAATACTGTGGCAGCACAATAAYTCTACACTTCGCAGTTGCATTTTAAGTAATAATCTTTATTATCTTTATAGGTATGTTTTAATATACATTCATTATGTATAGCAGTTGTACTCATCCAGTTTACTTCAGTTCTTCACAATAATAACATGAGTGTTTAAAGAATTTATAAATCTGTAAGGTGGTCTGACTTATCATTTAATTACTCCTCAAGAAGGAACTGAAAGATGTGTTCTTATTTAGGAGCTTTGAGGAAATACAGTGCTTTTGAATCATGTTTTACTTACAAAGTGGCATATCTAAACTCCAGCAATTTCTGATGGATTCTTTGCTCTTTTTTTTTTTTACATAGTCATGATTATTTATTGAAAATCTTTATTTCATTATCTATTTATAACTTTTATCTTTATTTATTTAATATTATTATTTATTTTCTAATTGTTTTTAAGGTTATAGAACAGGGAGAAATTTGAAAAATAGATTATGAAATTTTTTCTGAGTTACATAACATGATAATGACAGTATAGTTTGTCATTCTTCTGGTATATAGAATCAGTCCACAAATAAAAAAGGATATAATTATATGATAGTGTAATTATGGAAACCATTATGAATTGTCCTCTAATTGTGAGGGAGCATAATAGGAAAGATTCGAAGCTAATATCCCTACAGGGATATAGTTAATGTTTTTAGACCACATTTTTATAGCATTCTTCCAGCTGCTGTGAACTGTTTTCTGTATTACATCTTCACAAAAATTTAACTTTTATTTTCCAAAGTTTTAATACAATATTAGCTTAATTGCAGTAGCCCCGTTGTGCAATTTACTGTATTTGCATGAAAAAGGCAAAAATATATAGAATAGTCACCAAGTCTGTTTCTGAGTCCATTTTTTTTTACCTTTTAAGAGCAGTTGCATAGGACATGTTAGATTTTGTTTATGATCAGGTGAAAAGATGCATCTAAATGCCAAATACATTTAAAGAGTAAATTCCTATTTGCATCTGCAGGTAACTTTTCATAGTGGTTTCTTTTCTCATTGTGCATAGGAATGCTTTCAGTTTATACTGCCAGCCCTACCTCACGCCATTGATCTTTTGCGGGATGCCATTGTAAAAGTAAAGGAGGTACACGATGAGCTTGAAGATCTACCTTCACCACCACCTCCTCTTTCTCCTCCTCCAACCACCAGCCCTCACAAACAGACAGAAGACAAAGGAGTGCAGTGTGAGGAAGAGGAGGAAGAGAAGAAGGATAGCGGAGTTGCCTCAACAGAAGACAGTTCTTCTTCACATATAACAGCAGCAGCCATTGCAGCTAAGGTGAGTCTGGCTTCTTTCCTTAAGAGACCCTTTAGTTTCTGTCTCAGGCACTTTCCACCAGTATGCATTTGCATGTTACAACTATACATTGATGTCTTCATGTCAAACAGATGTATTTTAGGYACATTTTGTAGAAACAGAGCTTCATAAAAATATATGAATTCTTTTTAGCAGGTGATTTCAAATTCCAGTGGTAGTTATATTAATTATTATCTTGATTTATTATCTTGATGTTAACATTTGGCTGTGACAAACTGATTTTAGTGGCTTTTTTAAAATTCATAGTACTGACATGCCTGAACATGTAAAGTCCTGTAGGCGGCATGTTAAGGAATCACAAAAAAATTATCCAACCCATACTATCGAATTTGAAATGAAAATGTTAATGTCTGAAAACAGTGATAAAAGTATAGCAGACAGATAGCATATTAAGTAATAAGATATCCAGATTGTTGTATTCCAGTGTGCATGTCTGCATAAGAGGTGAAATTCTGCCAACAAACTGAGTATCATACTGTAATTATATCCTTACTTTAACTAGTAATCACAGATCACCATTACTCAAACTAAAATAATGAATTGGAGACTCCAAAAGAAAAAAATGAGGCAACACCTATAAATCATTTCAGTTCAAATTTTAAATATTRCAAGAATTATGGTATYATTTGAAGCAATATGTAATTATCTACTTCAGTTTTATGTGTTCAGTCTTTGAATGGAAAGATAGTGTATCCCTGTGTGTTTGGAAACAGTTCTTTCCAAACTGCTTTGTTCTATATCTAMTCCACAAGTCATGCTTTTAATTCCTATTTTGAGAATTGAAAGTCTAAGTAACTCAAAATTATTTTAAACAATTTCTAAACCAAAGCAGCAACATTCTAACTCCAGAAATGTGAATTCAGGTCTGAGACATCTTGACATTTCTAAGACAGCTGCAGCTGGAGATCATCTCCCAATATACAGGAAATCCTGATTACATATGTCTTTGCAGGGATGAATTAAGGTAATTATCATTTGCAAGTATCAGTTTTTATTAATTCAAATTTTTAATTGTTTCATTTCTTTCAATACAAGCAATGGTAAATAATATATGCCATTTTTAAAGGCAGAAAATACCTCGAATCTCAACTGGCTATATTTATATGAGCTTAGCATTTCAGTGTCACAGTTGTTTTCACCTCATTCGTTTTTGGTCATTTGCTTGTACAGTTTCATGTGTTCCTGTCACTGTATTCATAGCTGTTATGTGTTGTGCATTAGAAGCATCCATCCTACACCAGTTCAGCTGTTATCATGGCAAAAGGTGAACAGCCCATCCCTGGTCTCATCAATTATTGCCATCACGCAGCAGGCAGTGCAGGAGAACTGGTAAGAGACACTTCCAAGAGGCTTTTGCACTAACACTAACTAAAAATACTCTGCCTGCCTCCTAGTCTATGTATGAACAGACAGTGTTTTTTATGTTCTTCTAACAAAGACACATCAGTGCTATTTTTTAGAGCACATTCTACAGAAAATATCTGTTTAAGATAAAAGTCTAAACAAGGTAAAGGTCATGTGTATTGTCAGTTTGAATCATTTAGCTGCTGAGATAATAATTGGTATAAAGCCTATGTTTCTGATTAGGCGCCAGCTTTATCATCTAATATACTTAAAAATTGAATATAATTAAAATAATCTCCTGAAATTACTGCTTTAGACCTATGAAATTGTAACTATTTCCTCCTTGTCTTTCTTTGCTGMTTTTCTCTCAATGGTTCTTTTGCCAATGCAACATTTGCAATGGGTGTTCATAGTATGCTTTCATCGCTTGCAGCTTCTCCCTCATTTTGTTTTCTGTTTAGAAATAGAATTTCTCAGAAACAGAAGACTTCAGGAGTCAGGAAGCAGTGGACTTATTATAAATTACTTGGTTTTAGTGAACAGTAGAAAACTRCTTCAATGAATGGTAGAAAGGACCTGTTCCCTTAGGCAAATAGTAACTTAAACCATCAGTCAAATAGCCTAACACCTCTATATTTAAAACATCATTCTATGTCCCTTGAAAAGCCACTTGGAAATGTGGAGACTTTAAAGAGTTCACACACTTGATAATGAAGTTATATATAGGTTTATAATATATACATGCATACATACATGCACCCATTTATTGCAGTAGTTGGGATTTTTTGAGTTGGGGTCACTAAACARCAATTTGGACCATATTCTTCCACATCAGTGGAACAGTGAATTTAGCCTCTATGAAGAACACTGTTAAACTGTCATCCATGTTTCTGTGTCCTTTTGCAGATTACTCTTGAGTTATTGTTTTATGCATTCTATAATCCAAATCATATCTTCAATCTCAGAGCAGAAAGTGGTTAGTTTTTTTGCAGGTTGTTGGTTTTTCTAAGCTGTCCTTTCTGTATGTTTTTCAGACATTTTTTTCTCTTGTATAACAGTCATAGTAATTGCCATCTACAGTTTGTTTTCTTACCTCACCATCATTGTCAATCTTGTTTCATTTCTGGGCAGAAGAGAATGAAGAACTCATACTTTTTGCTTTTTCCCCTTCTTGTCAATGCTCTTGTCAAAGCTCTCTTATATGAAAACACAAATATTTAAACCAAAATAAAAGTACTTCAGAGAAAGGCCAGGTCAAATAAAAGCTGTAGAGGCAACAACTGATGGATATGGTGAATGTCTTTCTCTGTCACCTCATTYATTTCTCATTAATTTCTGTCTTTGACAGCATGTTACAACAGGTTTTCCACTCCAGCTAGTGCAAACAGAAACTAGTTTCACYGAACTAAGAATTTTATTGTATTCCATTTAAAGTTTTGAGATCTCTGCTCTGTATTCAATTTATTTAAAACAGGAAAGTGAGTAAAAAATTTTAGGGAAACACATCATAAATGCTCAGTGTGACTTAGTGAAGGTTAAAAATACAAGCTATCCAAAATGCAGTAAAGTTCTTGCCCTTCTTTTTTTCAGATTTCTATGCCCCAGGCCACACAGAAATTTCTCACAGGTTTATTAACCTCTAACAGAGTTAACAAGAAGTTGCCTTGATAAGAGACTTAGATTGCCTAAGTTTAATTTTTTAATTTTAAAATTAAAAAAGCTTACTAAATGTAGGTGAGAAAAATGATAAATTCCCCATGTCGCATTATATTTTTAAGTATTTCTGTTTATGGAATAGACATACTAGTACCTTCACTGAATTCAGCACATTGTAGTGGTTTAAAGAGAAATATTAGTGCTGCCATTTTAGCAAAATGGCACATTCCACTTTCATATTAGAAAAAGAACAAAATTATTAATTATGAACTAACTTGCTCTCAGTGAGAATTTTTTCTAGATCTTTTCTCCATGCAGAGGCCAGTTAGGCACTGTTTCTGAAGAGGAAGATATCCCCAGCATAGTCATCCATAGTGAAAAGAAGCTCTGCTGACTTCATAATTTGGAAATCGTAATATTCCACAGTAATTGGCTACTGTGGAAATCGTAGCATGAGTTGCTTAGCCTTGAAAGATCGTCTGAGGGGAGCTGGCAGAAACTGACTGGAGAAAAACACTGCTGGAGTAGAAACACAGTGGAGCAAATAGGAGGTAGTTGGTGGCACTCTGAGAACAAAATCTGTTTTCACACAATTTATAAACAACTTGTAAACATAAGAAACTCTTAACATGAGGAGGAGGGTATATGGTGAAATRAGACGCCCTAGGTATAACCCAGTATGTCTAAGTCAAGGTTGCTAAGTTAGACATAGTCATTATTTATGGAGGGGAACCAAGGAAGTTGAGAGAGTGGAAAATGACATTTAAAAAAAACAGTATTTAATGACACAAATATTCAGATTGGTCATTTTAACTATACTGAGACAAGTAACAAAGATGTCTTAATGTTATAATAACAGACAACAAAGATGTCTTAATGTTCTAATAATGTAACACATACTGAAAACTAGGATTCAGGCTTGTTCCTGGAAGGACMTACTTTCCAATGTCCTAGGACATCTGTCCTAAAATCTTAGTAGGCAACAATGCTCAAAATGCCTAGATGCAGACTGGGAAAGAGCATCTCTGTTTATAAAAAAAATTGTCTGGAAATGCCCAACATTCATGATTTGGCTTTTAACTGGATCTTTGTTTCTTGCTTCCTTTTGTTGTGTGTTACTGCCATTTTCCCTGGACAAAGGAGTTCTTTTGATGGTTCTCTTGGAACTTGAACATCAGGCTGAAGTAAAAAATTCTTAATGAGCGCGAAAGATCTTAAAACGTGTGTGTGTGTGTGTGTGTGTGTGTGTATCTGTTTAAAGATCTGAATGTCTACATTTTTGACTTGCAGGAAGTAAGCGCAAAGTGATCTGTAGAATTGCTGCCTCTGAAAAAGGAAGAGTTTAAAATAATTAAAACAAAATCAGCATAAGGCTTTTTAAATACTCATAGTGGAATCTGCTGCATTGTAGAGCAACTGTGTTGTGGAACAAATGTTAGGGATCAGTTCTCTTATCTGAGGTATTTATCATTGGTATGTCTTAACATTTTAGACTAAATATAAAAATCATGGTTAACTAGTAATCTAATCAGTTGTAAAGCTGGTGTGATAGCTGCAGACTGGGCCCAAATACAGCAGTAACAAAAACCTGCAAACTTTCTAAGACTCAGAATATCAAAGCTAAGAAAAGCTTTATTCTAAAATTCAATCCTCTGTCTCTTTTCTTTAAAACTGAACAGAAGAAAYGGAAGGTAACAAATAATGACAGATTCACTTTTACAACTGAAAATAAGAATGATTTCTCACTGTTGTAAGTTGGTGCATTTCCACTTACTTCACCAGCTAAAGGATTTGTCACTAAAATTCCAGGTTAGAAATAGAATCAAAGAATAGTTTGGTTTGGAAGGAATTTTAAAAGCCATTTTGTCCAAATCCCTGCAATGAGCAGGGACATATTCAACAACATCAGAGACCCATCCAACGTGACCTTGAMTGTTTCCACAGGTCAGGCATCTACCATCTCTYTGGGTAACCTATTCCAGTGTTTCACCACCATCATTGTGAAAAATTTCTTCCTTATATCTAGTCTCTGCTGCTCTCTTTTAGTTTAAAGCCATTACCCCTTCTCCTGTCACAACAGGAAGTTTGCCCCATCTTTCTCATAGCCCCTGTAAGTATTGAAGGGCCACAATAAGGTCTCCCTGGAGCCTTGTCTTTTCCAGGCTGAACAATCCCAACTCTTTCAGCTTATCTTTATAGGAGAGGTGTTCCATCTCTCTGATCATTTTTGTACTCTCCTCTGGACTCTCTCCAACAGATCCATCTTTCCATGCTGAGGAACCCAGAGTGGGACACAATATGTTCCAAGCAGAATCTCACAAAGGCAGAGTAGAGGTGCAAAATCCCCATCCTTGCCCTGCGCCCATGCTGCTTTGSATGCAGCCCAGAACACATTTGGCTCTCTGGGCTGGAAGTGCACATTGCTGACCATGTCCAACCTCTCATGCACCARCATCCCCAAATCCTTCTCAGCAGRGCTGYTCTTGATCCATTCATCCCCAGCCTGTGTTGATATAGGGGATYGCCCTGAACCAGGTGCAGCASCTTGCCTTTGGTCTTCCTAAACCTCATGAGATTGCCGTAGGGCCACTTCGTGAGCTTGTCCAGGTCCCTCTGGATGGGATCCTGTCCTTCAGGTGTGGTTAGTGCACCCTCATCTTGGTGTTGTCTGCAAATCTGTTGAGGGTGCACTCRATCCCACTGTCTGTCATTAAAGARGAAATTAARTAACACTGGTTCCATATGGACCCCAAGGGACACCACTTGTCACTCATGTCCATCAGGACTCTGAACCGTTGGCCAGTGTCCTCTGGATGTGACCATCCAACCAATTCCTTGTCCACCTGACATTCCACCCATCAAATCCATGTCTCTCCACTTTAAAGAGAATGTCTATAGAAGTTCTGTAGAAGATATCCATAGCTCTTCCCTTGTTCACTKATGTAGTCACTCCAKAGAAGTCCTAGGATAATTAGACAGGATTTCCCCTCAGTCTAGCTATTCTGGCTGTCTCAAATCAGCCTGGCTGCCTCAAATCAGCTCCCTGCCSTCCATGTGCCTTAGCACAGCTTCTAGGGACATCTGGCACAGAAGTGAGGCTGACAGGTCAGTAGTTCCCAGGGTCTCCTTTCTACCCTTTTTAAAGGTGGATGCAGTGTTCCCTTTTTCCMGTCCCCTGGGACTTCATCTCATTGCCATGACTTTTCAAATGCCATGGACAGTGGTTTAGCAACTCCATTAGTGTATTCCCTCAGGACTYTGGGATGCATCTCATCAGGATCCATAGACTTAGGTACATTCAGGCTCCTGAGGTACGAACCTGATTGTCCCTGGCAGTGGGAGAACTTTGCACCCCCAACCCCTGACATAAGGCCCATCCACTGAAGAAGTATGGGAAAAGAGGTTGCCAGTGGAGACTGAGGTAAAAAGTTGTTGATTGTCTCAGCCTTTTCCTCATCCATTGTTACCAGTTTCCCAGTTTTTCATCAGGAGGGATATGCTTCCCTAACTGGCACTCTAACATATTTGGAAAAAAAAACAAGACTGAAGTTTAATTTTTTCTCTCAGAATGTATTTTAAACCMAGTGTTGGCTTTGGATGGTGGTTTCTAATGCTTTTGCCATTACTTACTCCAAAGAGGCCTGTAGYTTTTGCAGCACAAACCTTACATTGAGAGTTTTTGCAGCTGAAATAAAGTCTTCATGGAATTAAGAGTATTTACTCACAGCATGACATTTCTTATGAGGAATTTTCTCCCTGCATGACATTTCTTTAGAGGGGTTCAGTAAATTACTAGCAAATGGTTTTCTCTTCAGAATGTTGTGGCCTGAATATATATTTCAGAATATAGTTAGTGAATGGAAAGTCTGCCTCCTGTCATGCCATGGTAGAAATCATTGTTGGTCATCACTGGGTTTGAAACAAAGGTTTAAGAGGAAACCATTATTTYCTTATTATTTCGTGTCATGGAATGTTTGATTCATAGGTTTTTCAGGACAATTAGTATGTTCTGTGCTATTTCAGTTAGCATGTGATCTTGTGTATTTGTTAGGTATTTGTTACTGAAATTAGGAGAATATGCCATTAACCACTGCCAAGCACTGAGTTTGAGGAGGTGTGCAAACTGAGGAGTGGCACACATAGGAAAAACCTATGGTTTTGAGGTAAGGTTTTGAGTAAGTTTTACATACAGTATATTTTTTACTATTAATTCTATCTCTCTTCTGTTTAAGATTCCAGATTCCATCATCTCTCGTGGTGTTCAGGTTCTCCCACGTGATACAGCCTCCCTCAGTACTACTCCTTCAGAATCTCCTCGTGCCCAAGCCACCTCTCGCCTCTCCACTGCATCCTGCCCAACACCAAAAGTAAGTACATTTATGCCTTGAAAGCTCCATGCTCAGCCATGTAATCTATSAGATTAATGTATTGCCTCTGCTGAACAAGGTTGGTTCGCATGGAGGGTTATGTCATTCTATGTAATAGATAAATGTAAGATAGTGTAGCTCGTTCCATGTGTGCTCTTGCACAGTTTAACGTGTGGGTCCACCAACAACTTCTGGTTATCGATCTCTTGCATTATCGATCATGAATATGAAATTGTTAGCACCTTGAATGTATTTAATATCCTTTAGTATCCCCAGGAACATAGATAATCCTGCCACTGAGTAACAGCATTAAGCAAGTAGTATTTTGTAAAAAAATACATATGCAAATTTGTAGCCTGGGCTGGGGCAGATCTGTGCCCCACTATTACTGTTCAGTTTAAGAGTTTCAAACMAACTGACTTTGCTCAAACTTAGATATTTGCTGCCTGACATTTGGAAACAAAAACCAGCCTAAATTGAATAGAAAGTTTTAATGCCAACCTTGTGGGATTATTATTCAGTTCTCAGTGATTAGGCTATACTATTGATCATTGAAGTGAACYCTATTACGTTCTCTTTCTATCAAGCTTTAAACAGCTTACATCAAAAACTAAGTGAATTGACCAGTGGCAAGGCCTRTAATGTTTACCTTCAGCAGAATTCCTTTCAGCAGAAGAAAACTGGCTAAATTAGCTTTGTACGTTCACATCACAAAGATCTTTGTGTGGVACCAGATGCTGACATACTAATAAACCAGTAGCAGATGGCAAATAATAACATTCTTCCTTATCTAACTCATGATCCTTGAAGATTATTCTGCTTGGTAAAATGATTGCCAGCATCTGCTAGTTCTTCTTTCTTACTGTCTCATTCTTTTCTGTCAGCAAGCAAGATTTATTGGCAGCTACCATAGAAATATTTTGGCTTAACCTATGGGATTTTTTTTATACACTGCTTACCTTCAGTGTAATAGAATCAAAATTATTCTGATGGACAGCAAACTTGAGCTTCATGATATAGTCTACTTTTCTTAAGATTGTTCAATCTGTAAACATCTCCTAAACTTCTTTCCTTAAAAATTGTGTCTTGTCTGATGGCTTAGAAGTAAAAGCACAGAGATTTTTACATTACAATACTCAGAGCAGAAGAGCAAGACAAAACAGAGAAATTGCACTGAGCCTTATTCCCATTGACAAAACAAAGTTATCCAAAGAAAACCAAAGGTGACCAGTAACAAGCATAAATAAGAGACAGCTCTGYTGAGAAATAGCTCTAGAAGAAACCTATACATTTTCAAGAAGTTTATCACAATAGGAAGGAGTAAAGATTTTCTGTTATCAAGCAGAATACACTCCTCTAGGGTGTCTTGAAAGATTCAGAGATTACAGAAGGAATGTACAAGAAGTTTGAAACAGATTAAAAATCTGAAACTGTGTTTTGGAAATTAGTGGAAATGAGCTCATTTCATAATTAGACCATGCTTTGGTATTTCATGTTGAGACCTGCTTTTCCTGTATGACTGCAAAATCAGATTGYGTTGAAAATAAGGAAGACCACACCACTTTTATAACTGGAATTGCCATGTAACATCTAGCTAGGTTAGCTTTTCTGTGATGTCTTTTGGTGGTGGTTTGTTACAAGTGTTATACAGGGAAAAACAAAAAAAACCCAACTGGAAAATAAACTTGATGGGTGATGGCATCTGTTCATATTACCTTGGATTTTGCACATAAGCTTCTTTACCAATTAAAGAGTTCTTGGTTCAGTATTACTTTAAAAAAATTAGAGAAACTACCCATTATCTTTTTGTTCAGTCCTTTTCAGTGTCCTCAAGTTCCCAAACATCCTCTGAATTTATCAAGAAATATGTTAATTCATATTCCTCAAGATTATCWATAATGCTAAATGTCTTCACTTATTCAGTTTTCCCTCTGGATCCTGGCTTTTCCTGTAATATGAATTAAGTTTACACTGGCCTCTTGCCCACACAGTACTGAGAATAAAAGTAAATTGAACCTCAGCGTTGAGGTGATGTACCAAGGTGGTTTTTTTTGTTTTTTTTGCTTCTTTAATCTGCAAATGTGTATCTTTTCAATACTCTCATTTGCTGGTTTAGGAATTMATTTCAGGGCTCCAAAAGATGTGTATATGACATGGAACAAAGGTGAGGAAGTGTCAGGGGAAAAAAAAAGATTTCTTTGATTACACATTTTTTTGGAGTGATGGTCTAGCCACAGAGCAAGTGGCACTATATTTCTTTGTCAGCTGCATATTCCTATTTATTTTGTTGTACCACTTTCTTGTTATATTTTTTTGTCCTAAGTGTATATGAACCCTTACATCTCTCTTACTGAGTATGCTGAATAACAGAAAGCTCTGTGTGTCTCAGAAAAAAAAAATCAAGCTTCTGCAATGATGGGAGCACCTCTATTAAATGAATGTAAGTAGCAGGTGACTAAAGCATGAGGATATTGGAGAAAAGGTATGGGAGGACACTTTACTAATGCTCCTGATTGATACTGACATTTTCAGAATCATATTTTGGAAAACTTACCTTGTTTATATATGCAACCAGATATGTACACAAAATACAACGTTTGATTGTAAATTTSCTTTACTGTTTGCAGCTTCTCATCCATGTTTTCTGAAAATCTGTTTCTAACACAGTACTAAATGATAAATATTTAGTAGAAATCTGGATGTTTCAATCAGTCTTCAAAAATGTAATTTCCTGGTAAAAGAAGTAATTATATTTCTTGGAAGGTAGGGACTTTTAGACAAATTGCCACTGGGACTACCCTATGTCTATKATTAGGTACATCCCCAAGACTAAGCAAAATAGCTTTTGTTAGCTTTTAATAAATCTTTGCAGGAYACTTTTCTTGTTCTCTAAATTTTATTTGAGTTTCAAACAAAATCGACTACTGCACAAAGAACACTTAAACCATATTTGTAGTAGAAGGATTCACATACAGAGGCAATCTGAGTTTTACTCAGAGGAAAACTGAAAAGTCCTCCCTTTTTCAGTCATTCAATCATAAAGCTGATAATGGTTGTGACATGCTTTTATYTTGCACAATATATTTTTGATCATTTGAACGTTTTATTGCTTTTTTAACATGGTTAGATGAATTTGCTGAACACTCAAATACAGAAGTTTAGGATAACACAGTGTGGCTTGCAARTTTTTCTTGTCATTTGCAGTAGCTGCTCAGGTTCTAAGTTCCATGTTTTTGTGTTTGTTTGTGGTTGGCATTTTCAAAAGTAAAATGCAATSTTCTTTCGAGACACAAAATCGGGTAAAATACTCTTATAAATATGGAGATTTTTTTTATATTTGCATTAATGTTGACTCTTGGGGTTTTTTTAAGCTTACAATAGAAAATTTTACATCTAAAACTTCAGATAACTTTAAAGAATATATCCAGAGCAAATGACTGAGTCATTATTTCCAACTTTGAATTTTGTTCTACTCTTAGGGGGATGATATTAGTCTAAAAGAAAATTACATTTTTCAAGTTGAAGGTTTCATTTCTCACACACATAATGATGTAATCAGTACTTAATTTTTGGTAATGTTGTGTGTCAAAGTCAAATGAAGCAGATTTAGAAGACCAAGGACAGGTTTTTAAAATATCRCCAGGAATTCATTTCAATGACAAGAGGTTTTCAAAGTATTTCACTTTGCAAGATCATCAGTCTCACTGATGTTCAGTTCTTTCACTTCAATGTGCAAAGTTTCAGTGTTATCTTTGATCATGAAGGATCCTAAGGAACTTGTTATAGTACTTTCAAGATGAGAGTGTGGGGTTTTTTTCCATCTTGCTACTTCATTCCCTTCACTCCCCTACATTCTGCTTAAGGAAAAGTCTCTCTCTACTTACTAGTTTTCTGTCCCTTCCCTATCTATCCGTAGTTCAGTTACACTGAATCAGACAAAACCCTCAGTGGTTAGATCCTTATATATTTGTAGTTGCAATAGATAACTTTCGATTCCTACATAACAAACGTTTATTGGCTCTGTCTTACAGCTAAAATGAACAAGCAAGGCTACTTTTCAGAATTTTTTTGAGGCATAACCAAATGGTCATCTCACCATCCACTGCTCTGTCCATCCACATCCTCTTTGTWGCACAGTACATTTAATTCTGCTAGTTGATCACTTTCTGTTACTTTCTGCCTCCTATGAAGAACTATTGTCTTTATCATTCATAAGCTGACATCTGCCTGAAGACCTAATATTCCCAATGTATGAAGTGTGACGCTTGTAATTTATATAAATGTTCCAGTTGCAGAGRATTTCTGAAATAGCCTAGAAAAATATATTAAATTTCTTTTGAAAGAACAAAATGCTGATGAACGTTGTTTCTGTGATAAAAAGAAATCTTGTGTCAGTAATTTCTCATGCTTATTGCTAAAAAAAAAATGTCATGAACCACAGCTTTAATGTTGAATGTGTACATTGACGTTCACACAGTCAAATGAGTTACAAATTAATATTACACCTAGTTCTGATCTCTGTTTTCAGTTTAGTGTTCTTTCAATATAGAATTATTATGTGAAGTAAGCACATAACCAGATGGGAGCAGTTGGAGTTGGAAAAATCATTTTTGTCAATTATTGTTGTTACAGATTTTTCAGTGGAAATATTCAGTATTTTTCAGTGGAAGAAAGATCAGGTTCCATATCAAAAATTCTTACACTAACAAGATGCTGKTCAAGATGTGTTGTGATAAGCTGTGGTCTTATCCACAGTGTAGATATTTTGTGTTTATTTGAGGGCATATATATTTTTTTTTTCATCTTGATTCTTACTTGTTCCTTCTTAAAGTCATTCAAAGTGAAAGCAGTATGGCAAGTGTGTGAATATATTTTAAAGTTTGAACACATACACTAAATTTCCAAGTGAAGTTTGTTTCCTTTTCAGTTTTTTCCGCCTAGGGACTTGCTTGAGTAAGTAGCAAGTACTTTGGCATAGCTGTTTACCTGTACTGTGGCTG